TCTCTCTCTCTCTCTCTCTCTCTCTCTCTCTCTCTCTCTCTCTCTCTCTCTCTCTCTCTCTCTCTCTCTCTCCTCTCTCCGAAGCCTATCTCTCTCTCTCCGAAGCTCCCTGTGTCTGCCTGTTCCGTCTATCCGTCCGTCCATCCACCAGTCTGTCTGTCTGTCTGTCTCACTGTTTAATTTGCAGTGTAGAAATCAAATTCAGAGTCCGATTTTCTCTCTGTTGCATGTGGTGCAGCAAGCAAAGAGCGAAGCGGGAGCAGCATTTGGGAACGATGGTGTTTATTTGGAGAAGTACATTCAGAACCCTCGTCATATCGAGTTTCAGGTGCAGTTCAAGGTCCCTCTTCATCCATCATGATTAGAGTTATGGTATAGGGCAGTGTCATTGGAATGCAAAGGCATTGGAATAGAATGTGCTCTTTGTCCGCGATTTGTTTGCTTGCTGCCCCTCTTTCCTTTATGTTAGTTCACCAAAAATGCCACCAAAAATTGCAGCCGCCGGCCATGCTGACCTCCGTGTGGCTGGTCCAGTATGTACTTTATGCCAGTTGATGGGAATTTCTTTCAGAGCGCGACAGGAAGGGGTACTGGTACCAGTGATAGGGGTACTGGTACCAGTGATAATTGTGTTGCCATAAGGCCGAACAAACACATACTGATGAATGCGAAGGCTTGCGGCAACGGAGTGAGAGAGTGGAGCTCGAGTGGGCTGACACGGGAGTGGAGAGGCCAGGAGCTGTAGTCGGTGAGAATGGATCCTGAGTAAAAGAGAAAAAAAAAGAAAGAAAAAAGAAAAAAAAGTTTAAAAAACATGCAGATGAAGTATCTGTCCAAATAAATCAAGAGGTAATTGCAGAAATAGCGCATTGAAGTTTACCAGCTTGGGGTCCGAAAGTGGGACCCCGCCTGCAGATATTTTTGTTGTGAAACTACCGGGACCTCTAAAGCTGCAACAAAAGATATATATATGTTGCAAAGGAACTTGTGCCCCGCCAATATTTTTGCTGTGAAACTACTGCAACACGCTATTGTACTGGGGCATACTGGAAATCTGGAACCGGTACCAGTAGGGGCATATTGAACATATTTCAGGTCCAAATGACGCCAGTTTTTTTCTCCGGGAACTTCAATTGCTGGCAGAGAGGCAGCGACAGGGTAAGTCGGCTGTCAGAGAGGCATCAGTGTGGTTTCTGTTCCACCGGCAAGCCGAAGGAAAGGAGTCATTTACTCTGTTTTGCGCTTCTTATGGTTCTCTGGAGCCGTGTGACAGAAGAGTTACATGCTGTGGTGGCTCTGCGTTACACGGAGTTGCGATTTTGATCGTCATTTTGCGACTTGCTGTCTGATACATACTGTGGTGGATTGGTGTGTGACAAATGATGTGGTTTGTCACAGGTCTTGTGTGACAAGTACGGCAATTGCGTCCATCTTGGAGAACGTGACTGCAGCATTCAGGTGAGCGGGAGATGAGGTAGGGACAGGTGGATGTATGAAAGAGGGACTGGTGGATTTGATTCAATGACGAGAAATTATTATTCATGCGGCTCGAAAGATCAAGCTGGGAGGCTGGTTTCCAGAATCTGGTTACTCGCCATTTTGTGGTTTCTTTAGGTCTTTGCCTGCTATATATAGCAAAGAAAGACCATAGCCCGTGAGCGAAAGCCGAATTTGGCAGCATATATACCATGGCCAAAGAATGGCGATGCATAGATCTCAATCTAGTATGCATTGGCGCTTTGAGTCTGCTATGGCAAGATTAATTGGGTTTTCCAAATTTGGAACGGGGCTTGGAGACCCTTCTTTGCCTGTTCTTGCATTTGTGTTTCTGTGTTTGCTGAATGTGTCGTTGCCCTTTGCTGAATTATCCGCAAAAGTCCTTCGAGGCATCCGTTAAAAATGGAACGATACAGAGAATGAAGATTAACATAGCATGGTCCCTCCGCAAGGATGATGACATTCATAAATCGAGAGATGGTCCAAAAAAAAAAAAAAAAAAAAAANCCAAAAAAAAAAAAAAAAAAAAAAGAAACCCGAAAAGACACATGGATTGTGATGATTGGTTATCATGTATTTGATCCTTTTTTTTTTTCCCCCTTCTGTATCTGCTTGATGCCTGGGTGGCAGCGACGGAACCAAAAATTGTTGGAAGAGGCACCCTCCCCCGCCCTAACGCCAGAGCTCCGAAAGCGGATGGGAGATGCTGCTGTGGCCGCGGCATCATCGATCGGTTACATTGGTGTCGGTACAATTGAGTTTCTCCTCGATGCGTCTGGAGAGTTCTACTTCATGGAGATGAATACGCGTATCCAGGTATGTTACTTCGTCGGTTGAGCTGGTTGCTAGCCGCTCCTCGTCCAACCTGTACACCTCTGACATCCTGATGGTACGCTGAATGTGTACTGGTGTACTCTATTTTTATGTGTGTTGTGTCCGTCGATTGCTGATGCGGTACAATGTAGCCTTTGTTTGTTTTCCACAATGCTTGCCTTTTCTCTTG